CTGATTTTTATCCGCCACACCTAGATGTGGGACCCGCCCCTCGTGCCTCCGCCCCTCCTCCCAGTCTGGATGTGGCTGCTGCTTTAATTCCGTAGTTGTAGGACTTCCATTCAGCTTGATTTCAGGCAGTTTTGAATGATGGTTGTTCTGTAGTTTAGTTGTAACTTTGATGTGGCTGTGGGAGGACAGATACCGCGTTTACCTACCCACCGTCTTGACCGGAAGTCACACTTTATCTTTTTTAACTTTTTTTTTTCCTGTATTGATTTTTTAGAGAGAGAAGGGAGAGGAAGAGAGAGATAGAAACATCGATGAGAGAGAACATCGATTGGCTGCCTCCTGCGTGCCCCACACTGGGGATCGGGCCCACAAGCTGGGCATGTGGCATGTGTCCTGACCAGAATCGAACCGGCTGACCTCTTGGTGCATGGGTGGATGCTCGACCACTGAGCTGCACCAGCCGGACTTAAGTAACACTTTAATCTCTCCTTCAAAATTTGAGCTAATTATCCCTGGCATTACTTGAATTCCTTTCATTGTTAAATCAGATTTTTAAATTATTAAACCCATTTTTTTCCTCAGGCAAGGGGGCATAAACTCCAGTAGGAGTTAGATAAGTAACATCAAACTCCCTGAGGGTTAATTTTGTGGTCGTGATAAGGTCCAGGCCCACATTTTTTGTTGTTGATGTTTGGAGGTTTTCAACCCTCTGCTTGATTGGCTGAGAAAAGCCCGAGGCTGAGGGGCCCAGGAAGTTGTCAGGGAGGGCCTCACACCCCTCTTCCAGTTTCCAACAACGGATTTTCAATTTTGTTCAATTTAGATTTGTATTGATTGGCCCAATATAGTCCTTTGTTTCATTAAGACAAGACTTAGTAGGAGTATCACTGGTTTCGACCTTTCCTCTTCAACATTCCTTCTGAAAATATCCTGGCTTGGACCCTTGTTGTCCTTTTTTGAATTTTTAAATTTGTAACGTTTTAAGAGTAGCAGCTAATGTTTTGGACTGATGTGTTTCTGTCCCTACATTCTGACATGTTTTTGTATATTCCCCTTGTGTTGAGGTTTTTCCCTTCAAAGGAGCAAGTATAGCCTGACAAATTGTATTAGTATTTTTATAGGCTAATTGTAATAATGTACTTGTTTTTGTATTATTAACCTGTCTATTTATTGTTATTTGTAACCGATTAACAAATAACACATAAGATTCCTGTGCTTCTGGCCTAACTGTGGCAAAAGAGCCTGTCCTTTCTCCAGACTCTGGAATTCTCTGCCAAGCTTTAGCAGCCAAATCTGAGGCCTGACGAAACAAGTTCGCTTCTTGCCTTACCTGTACTTGGGGATTTAAATAGTTTTGTTTTGTTTTTTGTCTTAATAACATGTTTTGCCCAATTGAAATCCCTGCCCTATAATTTTTTATTGTCTGTTGTGTGGCATTTTTCTTGATATTTTATTTTTTTACACCGCATATTGGCGGGGGTTAGTATTGTTTTTATGAGTGCAGCCCAATTCCAGAAAGTTATTTGATAACTACCAGTTACTCCCTCCAATATTCCTATAGTAAAGGAACTTTGCAAACCATTTTTTATTATGCTTCGCCTGAATTCTTTAAAAACCTGATAGGGAGAACATTTACGCACAGGTTGTTGACCTGGCTGAGTAATAGCTGGGAAAACTCCAAAACCTCCAGCTTTCCTAGCTTCTCCGACAGCCCTCCATGGCTGGGCGTGGTTATGCTGAGGAATCCTCCACAAAAGGGGGAGGAGAATTTTCCTCCTTTGATGACCATAGGGGGGCGGTTCCAGAGTCTCTTCTGAAGGGGAACTGGGAGCCCCAAGCTGCTAGGACTGATTTCCTTAGTTAGGGGCTGCCAATGCTGTACATACCAGTGGCCATAAAAGAAGGGTTGAGGTGGAAAGATTCTACTCCAAATCCTTGTGCACCCTAAAATTTTCCCGCACTCTGAACCACACGTCAGAATCAGATGTGCCCTCCCACATGGCCCGCAGAAGCTGCCAAGAGCTTCGCTCCCATACGGAGCATTGGGCTGCTTTCAGCAGCTGTTGTAAGACTTGTGCGTTGTCTCTGATCTTGAGAAAGTCCAGACCCCATGTTGTTCTATTAGAAATTTTAGTTATTAGGTATGCAGGCAGCTATCCCAAGCTGGGCGCCGCTAACCCGAGCGTACTTTTACTTTTGATCTGGATCATTGATTCCTTTCCGCACACCATTAGGTTGCTGGTCACCTCACTGCGAGTTCAAGTCACGTGGGAGTCACCCCTTGTGGACTTTCAGCCTGTCGGGGGTCGTCGCAACATAATAAATTCTTAGTCATGGCTTGGAGTGAGGGAGATCTTTGGATGTAGTTCAATTTATTTGTAAAGCGGTTCTCTAGGTCATACGGTGTTTTAGGTAATTAAGTCTTTGAGATTGTGTTTTTGTTGACTTTATAGTTAAGTCTAGTGTATTTTTTGTTTAGTTGTTTCTTGCTGTTGTTACTGGAGATATATAACAAATATATTTGTTTGGACGATAAGTCCATTGGCGTTGTTGGGCGGCTTTCCAAACCTGACACGTGTATTTACTTTAGTGCATGAGACCACACTCAATCCCGAGCCACACCAGCCAGACTATTTTATTTATTTTCATACATACTGTACCTTCAGGGTGGCGTTCCAGCCCTATCACATATATTTTGATTAATACTTTTAGGGTGGCTTTTCAAACCCAACATACATACCTTATCTAGTCACATATATATTTTGATTTTTGGCTCGCCAAGTTATAAAAATATGTATTTCAAAATTATAATTTATTTAGCCACCAAACCCCCAACCCCACAGGGCACAACTGGGGAAATTCTAATATGGACTATGTTATTAAATTACCTGTGTACTAATGGTAGTTACACAGAGCATCCTTATTATAAAAAAGCACACTCAAGTGCTTAGGGGTAAAATATGGTGACGTTTACAAATTACTTTCAAATGGTGATGAAAAGTGTATTGGTCTACTTGGGCTGCCAGAACAAAATTCTATAAAAAGAATTTTATTTCTCACAGTTCTAGAGGCTAAAAGTCCAAGAATGATATGCTGGCCAATTCTGTCCCTGGTAAGAGCTCTCCCCTGGTAAAGCTTGCCAGTGGCTACATTCTGTCCTCACACGGTGGGGAGGGAAACAAGCAAGCCTCTGGTGTTACTTCTGACAAGGCCACTAATCCTATCACGGGGACCGCGCCCTGAGACCTCATCTAATCCTCATCACCTCCCAAAGGCCCCACCCAGAATACAGGTGATAGCACACAGATTTTATAGGAACACAATTCAGTCCCAGCAAAGTGTGTGCAGAGAGAAAAAGATAAAGCACACACTACAGCAAGCTGTTAACTACCTGCAAAGGTAGGGGAGAGGCTGCAAGGTTTATTACAGGGTAGGGCAAAAGTAGGTTTACAGTTGGGAGTACACAAGTTAATAAAGTTATTGTAATCATAACCTGTTATGTCTTTTTCCATTCAAACTGTAAGCCTACTCTGACCTCACTTGTATTATTACTCAACTTTTCACTATATATGAAAATTTTCCAAATAAAAAGTTGGGAAGATTTTTGCAGCTGCTGGACACATGAAGCCTGGAAAAGCTGAGTCCCATGAACACTGAGTCCAAGAAGGGCAGTGTTTTTCCTGAGAGCCAGAGCTGGGCGACACGACGTGTTGCTCAGTCAGCACTAGGCTGCTGATTGGCAGCATCCAAGGGAGCATGGAGACCCACATCAGGGACACTGCTGGGGCCTCTGCAGAGGGGAGGCCAGAACAACCAACTCCCCAAATTTCATAGTACACGGACACGTGTGCACCTGCAAGCACACACTCCCTGACAACCAGTCTCTCCAGTGATCTTGGAGAAAAAAGTTAAGAGTCTGTGTGTTTATTTGTGTTGACCTAGCCTTTCCCACAGGCAGAATCACACATACATTCAAATTTCACATTATGCTCCGTGTCTCCATCAACTGCCTTGAAAGAAATCTGCATTCTAGCAGAATTGCCTGTGTGACACTACTCCCGCAGGCTAGGTGGGTTTTGAGCTCCCTCCTTCCCTCTCCAACAGGGTCCCAAATTGACCCTCCACAACTCCAGACCTAGCCTTGCTCAAGTCCCCTCCTCTCCTCATTCCCTCAAGTTTTTATCAGCAAAGCTCTAACACTGTTTCCTCCAAGTTGACCCTTCTTTAAAAGCAAAGGACATGGGCCCTGGCCGGTTTGGCTCAGCGGTTGGAGCATCGGCCTGCGGTACAGAGAGACCCGGGTTCGGTTCCCGCTAAGGGCACGTGCCTCGGTTGCAGTTTGTCCCCGGCCCTGGATGGCCGTGCGGGTGGCAGCCACTCGATGTGTCCCTTCACGTCGATGTTTCTCTCTCTCTCTCTTCCTCTCTCTCCCTCCCACTCTATCTGAACAAAAAAAAAAAAAATGGAAAAATGTCCTCGGGTGAGGATAAAAAAATAAAATAAAATAAAAGCAAAGGACATGGGCCCGACCGGTGTGGCTCAGTGGTTGAGCGTCGACCCATGCATCAAGAGGTCGCCAGTTCAGGGCACATGCCCAGGTTCCAGGCCAAATCCCCAGTGAGGGGCATGCAGGAGGCAGCCAACCTCTGTTCTCTCTCATCGATGTTTCTATCTCCCTCTCCCTTCCTCTCTCTCTAAAATCAATAAAGAAAAAAAATTTTTTTTTTTCTTAAAAAAAGCAAAGGACATGAGTTAGTGGATCAACACAAGAAAGTGGAAGTAGGTGGCTTGTTTCAGCTGCCAGTTGGTCACCTGGCAAGGGCTCAGTCTAGACAAGGTGGTTAGCTGTGTCCGAACCCCCAGAAAGAGCCACACCTACGTCCACATGCCAACTCTAAGTAGAAACACTCTTCCTTTCCAACTGTCATCAGGAAGAAATGATAAACCCAAGATGAAAGATTTCCCCACCACCATGTGTCCAAAAACAAATGTTCCTTTATACCAATATTTATATATTTATTCACACATTTGATAAAAATATCAGTTAGATGTGAAATAATTATGATGACATAAGTAACTGTACAGACCGACCCCAATGCAGTCAAATTCCCAAAATCAGAACATGAGCAACACCCAGCTCAACTTCTGCATCATACACACCATTCCCATACCCACCCACGCCCGACAATCACAGGCGTATGTGTAGACATAACTCAGGGCCTCTCCCTGGCTTGTCAGATCCTAGAGGTGAGGGGAAAAAAACTGATCAATGAAAGAAGCTGGGGCTGCTCGATGCATCTCTGCTCTGCAAGACTCAGAGAAGGCAAGACAGGAAACACCGGGCAGTTATTCCCTTGGCACCAAACTTCACAGGCAACAAAAACGTTTAGGGGCTTAAGTTAGTCTCAGGTTTAGATCCAAGTAGGAAAAAAAGGGGAAAATGCGGTCATTTAAATTATATATATAAAAAAGGTGGTGGTGGTAGGGGGTTTAAAACTTGATCTCTGTTCTCTCATCAGATGGTAGCATGACCATATGCAGAATCAGCAAGGCCAAACTGACACCGTCTGACTGTGACTTCTTCCAAACAGCCTTGTTTGCTCTTGTTTTAGCCTGAAGGGAGGAGGGAAAACTTTCAGAGGAACAAGAGAGTCACATACATCCATTACATTGGTGTCTGGGGCAGGATTTCATCTACTGGTTCACAGAGCTTGTCTACAGCGCCAAGAGCTCCAGGGAGGGGCCCAGTCCCACACTTCTGCCGTTGGCCTTCTGAGATGGGTGAGTCCTTGCCATCCAGTCAAACATGAAGTGTGAAAAATAATGCCTAAATCAAAATATTACTTTCTAGACAATGGGACTAGAGAAATTCTATTCAACTCCCCAATTCCTACTTTTTGACACAACCATTAAAAAAATATATTAATGTAGGATGTTTTGAACATCTCCACAGATCCTATCAAAACAGTGATAGTACAGAAAGCACTGTCTGAAAGAATGTGTTTTCCAGTGTTCTTGGTAAATAGACTGAGGAACAAGGCGCCAAGCCAAATCAACATAGTGCATGAATGTAAGAACTGGCCAATCCAAAGGAAAACGCTCTGTGTAGTCAATGGGTGGTATCTGGCAGGCGAAGAGAGACATTTCCTGGTGCATACTTTATGTCCCTAAAGATGGAAGCAAGGTGAGGACAAGGCACTTACACTGCCAAGCAACAGCTGGAATCCCCTGAACACTGCGGCTATTACAGTAACAAGAGCACTCCCAGTGACCCCTCACTGAACCATCGACCGGCCAACTTCACTTTCCAGTTGGACCTTCGGACTAAAAGAAGTCCAAATGCTGCAGAACTGATGGTGGAAACTGGAATGATGGCAGAGGAAATATTCAGAGGAAGCAAAAACAAGTCGTCCCCTTCTGGCCTGAGGTGCGGTTTGTTCCAGATTAGCTCACTGGAATACTGAATTGCAAAATGCTTGGCCTGAGAATCTGACAACACCCCCATAGATGCCTTCTTCTTGTTTTGATAAAGAGCTAAGAAGGCTCTGAATGAAATCTGACACCAGCTATTAAATTATCTGGCACTGGTGTTCACAGACATCTTCCAGTACAACGTCCCTGTTCTGTAGCAGAGTGATAGGGACCGAGACAGGGCTAGAAGCAGCCTGTCCCTTCTTATCCCAAAGCCCTTCAAGCATACTCAATCCGGGCAGGGCCACAACTACCCTCATTCTTCCGCTCGGAAGATGGGGTGGTGGCCTTGGCTTCACTACCCATTTCCACAGGCTTAGATGAGATATAGTCCTTTACTTTGATCTCCATGTTCTTGGCTTTCAGAGTGGCCATGTGTAGCTTCTCCAGGAAATCTGGCATGCCTGGTGGGAGAGAGGGAATGTGAGCAGGCTGACAAACCAGCAGTGGGCTCAAAATTCAAAAGCTCCGTTTTCTATGTGGTGGAGCCCATCCTTCCTTTTAGAAATCACAGCCTGACTGACAACCTATGAGTGACAGTTGCCTCTCAAAATGCATAGGGAGCAACAGCAATCCATAACCTCTGAAATCCTTTGAAAAGGGGTGTTGATCAGACCACTTAAAATCTCACGTGGCTCTCTCAGGTGATAAAAACATCACTTATCAGTGGCAGAGCCTATATATCTGCCCATTTTATTTTGATAAATGTCACACAGAAACACCTGGTCTCCTCTCCATTCTCCCGAGATATAAGAAGCTGCCAGAAGAAAGAGAGTCACATCAGGGTGCTTTCTAAGGGCAGACACTGAAAGGGAAAGGTGTAGGCACAGCCATGACGAATAGCCTTTGATAGGACAGGCGCTGCCCCTTTCTCCAGGTGACTGTCCTACAAGCACATTTTCTCTGCCAGATTTTATGTCCCCAGTGATATCTAAGAAGAAAAAATTTAAGTGCGCTAATGTCCACAGTCCATATTTAAGACATTAGCAAATGCTCTTCTTAAAACTCCCCTCTGGGCAGTTCCTTTCTGTGACTTCATACTTTCTCATCCCTCCACACCTAGCTGGAGGCTCCCATAGCTTCATAATATTGAAGGACAAGCTTGGAAGATGTTTAATTTCCCCAAGAGGGCTCCAGTGACACAAATACTAATCTTCTTGCTGCCAATAAGAAACAAGAGAAAACCGAAATGCTCAATCCAGGTTCTAGGGCTGCACACAAGTGCCCACTTACCACTGGAAACCATCCAACTAACACAGTAGCGAGGAAACACAGTCTGGGGATTGTCACTGTATGTCAACAAGTAGTCAAAGCCATTCTGGAAAAGAAAAAGAGCAAAGATGAAGGTACCTGAATTACCCATCACAGGCTCCATTATCCAGGCCCAAAGGATAACCATGATCCGAGTCGGGACAGAGTGCCATTACTTTTACCCTACCAGGGGTGGGAAACCTTTCTTCTGTCAAGGGCCATCTGGATATTTATACTATTCGCAGGCCATACAAAATTACCAATTTAAAAACTAGCCTGCTATATTTGGTCAGGGGTGTGATGTTAGCTGTATTGATTTCATGGGTCTTATATGGCCCACGGCCCAGATATTGCCCACCTCTGCAAGCAGAAGAGTTAACACTGAACCCGAGAGGCTGCCATCCGTAGTAAAGCCTGCTTGCAAGGTTGGCCCTCGACTGGTGTCTGGGAACTGGGCTCCTGGAGTGTTCCCAGTTAATAGCTAAAGGTTGCTCCCTGTGCCTTGTCTATTAGAGCAAACCACACAATTTATGCTGAGTGCTTGCTTTCCTCCTGGGGCTCTGCGATTTTGGTATGTGCTGGGCAATATCAATCTCAGGTGCCACGTCTCTAACAGGCTCCGGGCAGGAACAGCATACCCATGTTGCTGCATTCTTGCTGCTGGAGAAGAATGGGCTCTCTGTGATCCTCGTGACAGAAAGAGCGTGGGAAGCCTGCATGTGGATGCCTCCCGACTCTGCCTTTCCCCTTGTGATACAGCTGTGCATCTTTGTATATCAGAATGAATCTTAGCTGTGAGGACAACTATATGCTGAGTCCTGTGAGTCCTTCTAATGTGGGAGTGGTCTTGAGGGCCCCAACACATACCCCCAGTGTTTAAAGATTTTTATCTTTACCAGAGTGGTATTAACTCTACCGCTTAACTATATACCAGGAACTGCTTCAACTCTTCACAACAATCCTAGAATGTAGGACTCTGTTTTACAGATGAGGAAACTCAGCTCAGAGAAGTAACTTGGCCCAGGGTCATACCCCACACACTCAACGAGACTCAACATGAACCCAGGACTCTGTGAGGTCAGCCCTCTCACTGCTTGACTGAGTGAAGGACGAGGATTAAGACTTATAAGTGTCCTGATGCTAGGAGAGGTCCAAACCAATTAATTATGCTCTACAGAGAGAACCACTGCATGCCGGCACTTTGTATGGCAGATGCCACAACTCCAAGTGGCAGACCTAGACTTTAAACTCTTGTGCCTTTATACCAAAGTCCACATCCTTTTCCCTGAGTGAACTGTTTCTTCTTTTATTCATGTACTCAATATTATCTGAATGTCTGGGATGTATCTGGCATTGTGCTAGATGCTCTAGAGAAAAGAAAAATGTGCTAGTCCTTGCCCTTGGAAACTTGCAGTTAGCAGGCTAATTGTAACAAAAGAATTCCTGTAGAGGAATTCTACAGGAGTCAAGAGGAAGGAGAGGTAAGGCCCGGACAACAGGAATGAGAAGAGGGTCCACCACAGAGGCTGGTTATAGGACTTAGGAGACACACATTTTTTAGTCATCACAGTATCGATCTTATTGGTATTACTATTGAGGCTGCTGTCTGTGTGTTTCAGGTTAAAGTAAATGAGTAATACGTTAGGGTGGTGAGATGAGAAATTTAGTTTCCCAGCACAGGGAAACAGGGAAGATGTTAGATATAAATAAAAACTATACAGTCCCAAGTTTAAATTAGTAAATTCTAAGTATTAGTATGCACTTAGGATTTACCCTTAAAATAAACAAACAAAACTAATTACAGTGTTGCCTTGGTTTTCTAATTTAATTCATTCTGGAAAGTTGTTAGAAAACTGAAGCATTTTCTCCCATTAGAAATAATACAAATTGCATCAATCTGTCCCAGACCTGTTTTAGCCTTTCTTATATACAGTACATGTCTAATGTACTGTTTATAAATAAACATTTTAAAGGCAAAAAGGAATTGAAATGTAAATGAAAATTTAACAAAAAGGAAATAAAACGTACAGTAATAAATGAAAATTTAATAACAATAAGCAGCAACAAAAGCAAAAAACAAAAACACTAAAATATTCACAGCACAATTTCCTGAGGTGTTAACCGTGACAAACTGACTCGTCTCCATGCATTCTCTCCTTTGTTTGTCAACTGAGAGATGTGTGACTTGCCTGAAAACCGAGGTTTGACTATACTTAGTTTTATCTTGTGAAAAGGCCTAAGAACAAAGAGCAAGCCACCACTATGAGTACTCCTAGAAGACAAATTGTACTTCAGTGACATTTCATTAAGAGGAACAAGGCTCCCTGAAGAAATACAAATGTCCAGGTTTAGAGCTAAAACTATACAAGATAAGCCGGGACATCCTGTAACACCAGGAAACAGACAACTCCCGAGGTCATGTCAAAGGACTCGAGCCAGTAGGACGAAGCTGTCAATGGCCAAACATGGAACAGTTTGAGCACCAACAAGAATAACTGTAGGGGTATTTTCTCAATCAGGTGAGATTTTGCTTCATGGCAATTGTCATCAATTTGGCTCAAATAAACTCACTTAAAAGTAACTATAGTGAATTAAGGCTTACCAAATACCTATATTCTAAGAGTTTCTATTGGTATTGGGGAAAAAAAGTTACCTTTGGAGAATCCCTAGTTGAAAAAAACCAATTCATTATTTAAAACTAGTAAATAAAGGAAACAAATTAAGCATTTATCTTATATCCCTTTCCTATGTAAATTATAGGAAACCAAACAGCTGATGAGAGAAGTTTTTCCTAAAGTATTTCAACTAATAATTGAAAATAAATGTAGAACAAATGAGGAAATTACAAAATCGGCATTATGTAACCTCTAATGAAATGATGGATCTTAATCACCATTAAGCACTTCTAAATTCACAAAGAAAGGGACAGACATTTGCCTTGTAATAAAGTGGTCTTTTGCCCCAAACAAATAAAACAATCTGAATCTGTTCAAGCCTCTAGATTTAACAACCAATATACAGGAAATAGAAGAGACAAAGGTATATCAAATGACACTATGAGGATAAAATCAGCAAGACAAAGAACCCTGCTTTTTAAAAAATACAATTGCAAGCGAAAAAAGGATGGGAACTTAAATGACTTCAAAAGATTTCAGATATAATATAGAGGATTTTCAAAGATGGCAGAGCAGGTGGAAGCTACACTTGTCTCCTCCCATGACTACATCAGAATTACAATGGAATTATAGAACCATCAACCTGGATAAACCATCTGCCCCTCCGCCCCACTGCCCCTCCGCCCCACTGCCCCTCCGCCCCTCCACCCCACTGCCCCTCCACCCCACTGCCCCTCCACCCCACTGCCCCTCCGCCCCACTGCCCCTCCGCCCCACTGCCCCTCCGCCCCACTGCCCCTCCACCCCACTCCCCCTCCGCCCCTCCGCCCCACCGCCCCACTGCCCCTCTGCCCCGCTGAACAGACTAGCTGAACAGAAGTCCTAAAACTATGAATATACAGAAGAACCCACAATCAGACTGACAGGAGGGGTGGAGACATGGCCCCACAACCACATGCAGCATATGAGAATCCAGAGCGATATCTCAGCTGCAGAGGTCCCCTGAAGAGCAAGGGGTCTCAACCCCACACAGGGTTCCCCAGCACAGAGCACCAGTGCTGAGAAAAGGAGACCACATAATATCTGGCTATGAAAATCAGTGAGAATTCCATCCTCCTGGGTGAGACGAAAGGCTGTTAGAAACCCAGGCATCCTCTTAAAGGGACAGAGCACAAAATCTGGCTCACAGGCACTCTCACCCTGGGCTCCAGATAGCCAGTAGCTGCTCAGAGAGTGCTGGAATCATACAGACAGAGACCAAGTTGTGTGGATTCAAGGAGAGGGGTAGAGGGACAGCCACTAATGTCTGTGTTGAGTCCATCTCCCACACTGCCCATGAATGCCATCTTTTCTGGGTCAAACATTCCCCCCATATGGCATTAGCCTGGGGAGCTATGCTAGCCCCACCCCAACTACTCCCGAAGCCATGCCCTACCCAACTCCCACAGGGCTGTAAGCTCTGCCAGCAGCAACCAGCACGGGTCCATGTTATGGTCGTAAAAAAAACTTCCAAGGAATTCTGGGCATGATGCTAGAGACACCCAGGGAAGACGGAGTTGTGAGGCTTTCGGGCGAGGTCTGTTTTCCCCCAACACCCGACCTGAGCCCCCGTTCCTCTGCTGGGCCTACCACACCTCACACGTTAGCTTGGAAAGCTGTGCTAGCTCTGCGCCGACCACACCCTGAGGAGCCATTCTGTCAAGCTTGCATAGGGAGGGCTATGGGCTCTGCCCACTGTGACCAGCCTGGGCCTGAGTTTCCATCTTTCTTGAAAAATTCTCAAAGCTTAGCTGCTGTGGCTCAGTGGGCTGAGTGTCTTTCCTATGTGCCAGTCACTGGCTTGATCCCCAAAAGGGGGCATGCAGGAGGCAGCCAATCGATGTTTCTATCTCTATCCCCGCTCCCTTCTTCTTTCCCAATCAGTACAAACATATTCTTTAAAAAGTCTATTATAAAAATAAAAGTTCTCAAAGAATTCTGGGCAAGCTCAGGGGATGGGGGTACCAAAGACACACAGGCAGAGACTGAGTTGTGTGGCTTTAGGGTGAGAGCTGTCTTCCCATGCACTTGATAGGCACCCGCCACCATTCCTGGACTAAGCCCTCCCTTCACAGGGCTAAATCTTAATCTGCTTTCAGCCAATGAACTCTCCTGGTTCCACACTTAAGACTCCCTGAGACCCCACCCCAATGCAAAGGTCCATAGGTCCCAGGCAGGTGGGAGCTGTCCTCAGTGTATGCTGAGTGGCCTCAGACCAGCACTGGTGCCGAGTTTGAATCTATTAACCTGGTGAACACAGCTAGTCCCTCCCTAGTGACTCCCTGTGAACCTGCCTTATGTAATTCTCATACTGTCTGAGGCTTTCAGTAGCCAAACAAGCAGCCAGAAGGTGGTAGAGGGGGCCTTGGACCATTTGCTAACCTGCCCTTGGCCTGGTACTGGTGGCAGAAAG